TGAACTCCATGCAATGACACAGCCGAAGTGTGATATACACTCAAAGGAAGGAAACACAGGACAGATACGAAAAAGGAAGGTTGAAGAAGAAACAGAAATTATAGAAAGTACCCCGAGCGCATCAGCTCCTGATGGAATTATGATGAGTACAAGAAAAAGGATCATGGCGTTTCCACCATGACATGAACATGAAGAACACTGGCGATGAAACCCGACAGCTGTTTAGTCCGTCTCCCCACAGACCTGGATCTCCTCAGGGGCGCGCTGGGTATTGAATTAGGTGAACTAGGGGCGAGGTCCCACTAGCCAAGAGGATCGGATAGAGCTCCTGAATCTGGGCTTGTTTTCAGCAGAGATGCAGAAAACTTTAAGCAGTTCAATCTCATTTTTCTGCACATTTGCACAAACCCGTCCAGATTCAGGCGTTCAATCCAATCCTGTTTGCTAGTGGGACCTCGCCCCTGGTAAACTTATACTCCAGTAGACCAACGGAAGACGATTCGGAACAGGTTTGGTAGTACTACCTGCTTGATTCCAGAAAGACCCGAGCGCCATCATCGGGACCCATGAGAAAGTACTCCGATGACCCGAGTCACCCGACCCCTCCAGCATAAAAGCTGGGACTCTCGGCATAGTACCAAAAGTTCCAACCCGTTAAACACCTGATCCAGGGGCCCCAGGCCCCACCAGGTCCTATTTTATTATTGAAATGAATCCAAGTAAAGAGTAAGGAATAGAGTCCGGTAAAGACAATGTGAGCATGAGGACGGCAACAGAAAAATACATCCATAAGTCTCAAAGTCTCTTAACGCACGCAAAGAGTATTAGAAATAAGTAAATTAAATCCTCTCAAAATTACAAGATAACCAGGGCACACGGCAAACCCTCGAAGTACCCATCCGGGAATTCCCTGCATCTTAGTTGAACTTCACCTTTCAAGGTCAAAAAAAGAAACAGGGCATCTGATCTTCTTCTTCTTTTTTTTTCTTTTCTTTTTTAAGCCCGTCTGGGTGCTAGGGGTGCTGATACAAGCAGTCACCTCTAGCACAGTGGGAGGTGGGGGGGTGGGGGGGGGGCTCCATCTATTGGTGGGGAGCAGCACCTGCTGGAAATCGGGTCCAGCGTCCCTGCTGTACATACTGGTAAAGTGCCGGATTTCGGGAAGAGGAAGAGCTCGGGGCAGCAAACTTTTGAGGTGATGACAAAATGCATGGAGAAGCACGGGGCGCTAATGGTGTCGAGCATGGAGAGCGCCAGCAAGCGCCAATGCTCCATCCAAATCCGGTAGTGCGAGGCGTTGGAAGCGAACGTCGAAGTGCAGCAAAAGCACTACGCAGTGTCGGGCGAAGTCAGCAAACTGATGTGCCATGCTCTGTTAGAGACAGCGAAGGTCATTCGTGAGCGTTAGAGTTGGTGCCGCCTTCGTTGTGCGCATTGTGGTGTCCATGGATGTCGATGGTGCGAAAGTGTGAGCCTTTCCGTCGTATAGTCAGCCGTGCGTGGGCCGTCGTCGACGAGCCGTGTCTCGATTGGTCGTCGTGGTGACGGAAGTGGGTGGTGATCCGATCGGATCGATGAGTCGTCGTGTGTACATTGCCGTTTTCTTTTTTGTTTGCCATAGACAATTTTCAGTTGGTGGATGGATTATTCCGTCATTGTATGATTTATATTGGTGCCGTTTAAGTGCACAATGCACTTCCCTTTTTTAATGACTCTATGGATTTCTCTCTCTCTCTCTCTCTCTCTCTCTCTCTCTCTCTCTCTCTCTCTCTCTCTCTCTCTCTCCAGCATGTGTTTTGGTGTCATCTCCCGAAATGGAACGCAGACGTGTTCTAAAGGTGTTGTCTTTAATGCAGTCCTTGTATGGAATGCTGTTGTTGTTTTCGCAAATGAAATTTGCAGAAATCTGAAATGGTGAATACCCTCACACAGTCGTCGATGCAGATGACATTGTGTTCATTGTGTTCATGGTTAATCGTCCCGCACAGTGGCTGCCGATTCATTGCAATTGCAGATGTGAAAATCTGTTGTTTCTTTTTTTTAAGTATTTCATGCCAGCGTAACTCCTCCGGTTGGGGTGGCGGTTGTCCAAA